AAAATACAAAATATTCAAATTTCTAATTTTATTTCGAAGCATAAATTGATCCTTTACTGAATTTTGTTACTGTTTTAATTGGTCATCCTCCACCAGCACTATGTATGCATTGCATTTTATCGCTAATCAACCACTGTAATAATCATTGTCCTATGATCTTCTATGCGATGCTTAGAAAAGTAAAAATTGCTTCACGAAAATACTGGTTTTGTTTCAGACGCTGAGTTTTTTCCTGAAAGATAAAATCAAGAAAACATTCGTATCACTAGTTATTATGGTACCAATTGTGGCTGTTGTTGTGTACATTGTCGAAGCGGGCGGTCCCTATTTCTTTTTCTATGTCTGGATTTTCGTCTCAATTGTAATTTTCGTAAGTTTTTTTTTCTTCCTTTTCGTTGTGGCTAAAAGCTTGAGCGATTAGGTGTGTGTATTTTTATGCGTTTTTTGCAGCAATGCAATGCGAAAAACGCATATTGACGAGAGGTTGCCTGTGTGTGTGTGTCTGTGTGTGTTTGTGTGTGTGTCTGTGTGTTTGTGTGTGTGTCTGTGTGTGTGCTGCGCGTCTGTACCGATTTTTCATCTCGAAGAAACTTTGGGGACTTAATCTGCATGCACGTACGGGCCCCTATCCCCAAAATGGGCGGTCTTTCCCACGTGGTTCCCACGTAAGGCCCGCCAAAGTTTTTAACGGGTAAGCTGATAACTCGTGAACCAGAAAAGCTAGAGAGCTGAAATTTTATGAGTTTTTTACGGGTAAGCTGCTAACTCGCGAACCACAAAAGCTAGAGAGCTGAAATTTTAGGGGAATATTCCCAGTCGAAGTAGGTACTAATGAGCTCAAATCCAGCCCGCGAGTAAGCATGGTACCCGCGTACGAGCCTCCCTAAAATTTTTCCCGCGTAAATTCATAACTCGAGGTTCCGAGATGCTAGAAAGCTGAAATTTTAAGGGAATGTTCCTCGCCCAAGCAGGTGTTAATGAGCTCAAATCCAGTCCCCGGCTAAGCGTGGTACCCGCGCACGGGCCCCCAAAATTTTTCCCGCGTAAATTCATAACTCGGGGTTCTGAGGAACTAGAGAGCTGAAATCTTAGGGAGTGTTTCCTGTCCTGTCTAAGTGGGTATTAATGAGTTCAAACCCTGCTTGCGGATAAGCGTGGTACTTGCGTACAGGCCCGTGAAAAGTTCCTTCCGGGTAAGTTACTTACTCGGGAACGTGAGAAGCTAGAAGACTGGAATTTTGAGGGGATGCTTCCTGACAGTTCTGGCGGCCAGTCTGAAATTCAGCTAGAAGCATCTGCCGAAAAACCGATGCCGGTATCGACAAAAACCTGCGGGCAGCCCGTGCGTTGGCCAATTATTTTTTTTTGGGGGGGAGGGAGGGGTTAAAAATATTAATCCAGTGATATGCATAGATCGGTAAAAAAAAAGCAGTGGTTCATCCAAGCGTTCTGAGCGCTTCTTGCAGAATTAGCAATTCAGCCTGTATACCCTTACTATCGTGTTAATACTCCACCATCTGTTATTATCACGCTTCCTTAGAAAAGTCATTTTTTGCAAGATTATTTCGGCCGTTTGGTGCTCTCGAACTAATTTCCTTGCTGTTTTGGTTTATTTTTGTTTGTTTTCGGCTGCTTCGCTTTTTTTTAAAAAAAATTTTGGTCACATGTTACATTTTTATTGAATTAGTGACGAACAACTGCATACTTGCGGTTGATTTTCCATTTTTTTTGGTTGAAGGGTGCACGGTTTGACTTGCTCTTTCGTTTCTTCACCCTTTTTCTGTGTGGATAAGATTTTAACACCATCTGTAACACAAAAACATGTGTCCCCTGTTGTTCTTTGCCACTGCTTATATGCATTTTTATGTGGCGAAGCGAAGTAGTTCTAGTTGATTTCTTGTTTTCTTTGAGCGATCGAAAAAATTCATCGCTGAGAAGCCAGTTTGATGCTGAGAAGCCCTTAACATAGTTTTTTTGGTTGCAATAGTCTTTTCCCCAGTTACCGTTCTTCGTAGATTCCCTGAAGAAGGAGTTTCTGAACACGTTCAGGATGATTTCAGTTATTGATGACAGTTTACCCGGAGTTTATCGCGCCACTATTTGACAAATATGTTCCGCTTCCGGAAAGCGAGTTAAAGCAAAAAATCGAGAAACTCGCTGCATCGGTTAACTTCCCGCTGAAGAAATTACTTGTCGTCCATGGTACTCAATTACTCACACTTTTTAACTTGTTATTTTATAACACTGGGATTACGATCACTCTGACTTTTAAGTAACTAAAGATTTGAGCGACTCTTTATCAACCCCTCCCCCCTCCTCACCCTTCATGTAGTTCGGGTTGCAGATGCCCTGTACCCACGAAAGCTCCCGTACAATTTCTATTTGGAGTCTTAGTGCTTACGTTGAGATGCTTGTAAAGGACATGAGGATCTCACGGATGGATGAGGAGAAGGCCCAAAAGTGGTGAAGGGAATGCGACACATGCAGTATTCTTCTTGGAAAGCAGCAAAACGAAGCAAAAAAGGTGCTAGTTTTAGCATTGCGACAGTAACAGCAGTAGCAGCAGCAGTAGCAGCAGCAGCAGCAGCAGTAGCAGCAGCAGTAGCAGCAGCAGCAGCAGCAGTAGCAGCAGCAGTAGCAGCAATAGCAGTAGCAGTAAACAATTTAAATAGCTTTGGTCAGAACAGCTGCAAAAAATTTCATCATCCCTGTTGATGGTGTGGATGTGCTTTACGCCAATTACATTCGATTCGTGGACAATTAACATTAAATTTGAGCAAATTGAGTGGGTTATTGCGGGAATTTTATGGATTTTTTTTTTAGGTTCGAAGCGTTCAGCGCACAGCAACGCATATATGTATGGATTTTGGAAGAACAAACGTATCGTACTGTTTGATACTCTGTTAAGCGAAGAGTTGAACGCAAAACTAAGGGAATCTGAAACAGTGCGTTCTTTCATTGTTTTTGAGCACATTTTGACGCCTGTTAAATGGATTTTTTTTTCTTTTCGACACTCTTGCGATCTCGTCGCTGTTGTTTGAGTTTTTATGCGTTTTGTGCTGTTTAACAGCGGTACAAAACGCATATTGTCACGGGTTTGTCTGTGTGTGTATTTGTGTGTGTGCCCGCAGCAACTTGTCCGCAACTTTCAACTGTGGAACCACAAAAACTAGGAAGCTGAAAATTTAGGGGAACGTTCCTCACTCACGTGTGACCCCGCAAATTTAAATTCAGCCTCCCCGTACCCGCGGGTAACACGTATGGCCCCGTGAAAGTTTTCTACGGGTAAATCAATATTTCGGGAACCACGGAGTCTAGGAGGCTAAAATTTTAGGATAATGACCCTCTGCCCACTCTCAACCTTGCTTATTCAAATTCAGCGTCCCCGCGCTCTTGAGTATCACCTACGGCCTGGTGAAAGTTTTGGCGGGTAAACTATTAAATCGGGAATTGCGGAAAGATATTCATCCTTCAAGGTTCCGAATTCAGCTTTCATGCGCTGGTGCGTGAAATTTTTAACTGATTCCTAATGTTTGGACTATTTTTGCATAGACTAAAATACAAAGCAGTGAAAATCATTAATAGGTCATCGTTGGATGGGCTGAATTGCACAAAACGCATGATCGCACCGGCTAGTTTGGTGTGCGTTGCCACTTATCTTTTTTTTTCACGTTTGGGAATTTTGTTTTGCACAGACGGTTTTTGCATTCCATCAGCTCCGTCTTTCATTATGCCAAAATTCGCGCAAATTACCATTTTTCTGGAACCTAATACACCACTTCATTGATTTTTTTCGCCGTGGAGGTGCATTTTTGTTCAGTATGTTGGGAGTTTATTAAACCGATCACTGTGAATTTGGAAAAATCTCAAATTTGAATTTTTTTGTGTTTTAGGAAGAAGAGAAAAAAGAGAGAGAAACGAAAGAAAAAAAGGAGGAGGAAGAGGAGAAGAAGCGGAAGTTGGGGATGCAAGATGAGGAAGTGGTGGCCGTACTTGGCCATGAACTTGGACATTGGGCTCTGTGGCATACGGTTATCAATTTGGTCCTTGCTGAAGTAATATTTTATAAATACTTGTGTCTAGTAACTCTGCTTCTTTTGCTGGTGAAATTTTATATACGCAGTCTGCAGTGTTGTTGAGGAAAACTGGATCTCGAAGCTGCCGATAAAGCTATGAATCTAAAACTTCAAAGAATTATTTAACTGTTTATACCACGTATGGGCAACACTTGGCGACACGCGAGCCTAATTTACGTAATTTCGCGGGGCACTCTTTAATAAAACTCAGGTAGCAACGCATCAGTCTTATCCGTGCGATCATGCGTTTTTGCGCTAAACTTGATGCAGTCAGGCCTTCAACAGTATGAATGGTTGTTGCTTTACAGTTTAACACGCGCTACTCATTTGCCTTTTCTTTAATGCGGGGAAGACAGGCTGGTTATTATGCGTTTTGTGCTGTGTAACAGCAGTACAAAACGCATATTGTCACGGGGTTGTCTGTATGTGCGTGTGTGTGTGTGTGCGTGTGTGTGTGTGTGTGTGTGTATCCACAGCAACTTGTCCGCAACTTTCAACTCGGGAA